GTGGCCTGACACCGTCCACAGGTACCATCCATTTACAGGATCGTCCACATCACTCCCCCCCACTTCACATGTGTGACCCAACTGCCCATTGGCTCAGCTCCCTCCTGGCTGCCTCCTGCAGAGCCCTTTTCACTAAGGGAAATCTGTGCCCTGTGGTCACAGGAAAGCCAGACATCAGATGGTACAGGTGGGATGAAAAGAATTGAGCTCAGAGTTCTCTGGGGGGTTTACAGATCACAGTCAACCTGAGCACAAAGAAGCAAGCACTTTTCATCAACTTTGTATGCTTTTATGTCAAAATGGGCTCCAGCTGGGCACACTCCCATACTTCACTTCCAGACACACCAGCATTGTAAGAAGACAGCAGACAGCTAATGAGGGGCCGGGTGAAGGCGATGCCCCTTCAGCTCCAGCGCTCCACGGCCACATCATGCCTCCTCCCATCATCTCAGGACAAGCGGGGACCTGGCCGGGCTCAGTCTGCAGAGGTCAAGCATGTCCTCTTTCAATGTATTTCTCTCTCATCTAAGAGCATAAGTTTAAGATCATTATTTGATTCATCCATGACTTTTCTTGCAACCTGAGTGTAATGCATTAACAAGCTCATTCCATTAACTAATTTTCTTTTTACAAAGAAGTAAAGTAGCCTAGGAAAAAAAAAAAAAAACAAAACAAAAGGACGCAGGACTTGACCCAGAGGATCCATGACGAGCTTTCTTCTAGCGTAACTGCAGGTAGCACTTTGAGAAAATAAGGCCTTTGGGTAAATTTGCCTGAAACAAGTGATTCCAGTTTTCCCTATTACAGACAGCGTTCTTGACTCTCTGGGCAGGTGAGTGAGTCAGATGGGCAAATTAATCAGATGGTGAACACCCAAGACCCAGCTCCAAATTCAACAACACCAGCTGCCCTGAAACTGTCATTACACGCTACAAACCCAAACAGGCCTGACCTCCATAACCCCACTCCCTGGGCAGACCCAGTGCCAGGCGGAAAGTTCCAGGGAGTCAGCCCATCAGAACGTGAGCTCCCTGCATCCACACACACCCGGCGCCCCAGACACAATCATCATTATTATAACAGCAGCAGCAAGAATGCCTGCCTCTGTAGGCTCTCTCCCTCCACCAAGCTTGGACGCACATTAAGTTATTAATGCTAAGGAGGCCTCCAGGGTTGCAGACGAGAAAACAGAGAGGTGGAGTTTTCTGAACAGCAAATTGTTGACTGCATTACAATGGTTAGAAATTGAGACTGATACACCCGTGATTAGACTCTGTAGTGATTTTAATATTTGAAGAGCTAAACATCTTAACTTCAAGTGAAGAGACCCCTGCTAGAATTCTATAGGACTTATATGCATGCATTACTCACTGTCAAACTCCACTTGCTCCCTGATTTCAGATTGTAAGAGATCAGGCGTCTATTTAAGTGATATATCTACTTTTTCATAGCATTGTGATATGGCAAAATCTATAGTAATTTTAACTTATTTATATAAAAGGCAAACAATCGCTAGTGATTTCATTCTGACCGTGACTTT